GCCTTAAACCGTAGACTGAGGAATAAAGTGCTTGCTTGTGAGAGGCAGATTCTGCGGAAGATATGCAGAAAGATATTTCATTATCCCTCCAACCTAATTCACACAACAGCCGATAACACCCCACTTATAACAACCCGACTCCAATCCCTAGGCAAGAGATACACCTTGCGGACTATCCAGGGTCGCAACACCAGGGCCCAGAGAGTTCTCAAGATGCCTTGCCACTCCAGAGGACACATAGTATTCAGAATACCTAAAATAAAAGTACCACACATCCCATCTCTCCTGCTAAATGCGGCAGGAGCAGATCTCCCGGATGAATACTATGATGTCCTCGAAGCAACTCCTTACGAGTACCGCGTTAACAACTAAGAAGGACAGGGAGAGTTAGTTTTCTGTGGTTTCCTAACTCATTGCACAAATTATACCTGATCCTAGGTGAGGTTGTAGCCACAGCTATCCTCCACGTTTGAAAAAATCCAAATACTCTACTAAAGAGCCGTTTTAATGAAGATGGTCGCTATTATGTGATTAACCACCAAACCGACGAAGACGCTGTCCAAAAAACACGAAAAACACGAAGCCACCCCCACCACAAGGCCAACAAGCAGAGATACGTAAGCTCCTCCCACCCAGCCGACCACATATAAAAACATTTCTCGCTGCACCATCCTGAGTACACTTCAACCTGGGGCGCCCACATCGCCTGCCGGAGGACGAATTTCAGTGCAATACACTGGTTCGACTGATGGCGGGAGATGTGGGTGAAACCAGCAAATTGTGGTAATAAACGGGAAAAGCAACGAGAGATTTTCACTAACATCAAACCCCGGCGACTGCTGTTACCTGAAAATCCACACTTATCACAGCCGCGCTCGCTCAAGCACGGAATTACAGTGCAATACACTGGTTCTGTGTTGAACGACAAGCGCGATTGTGAATTTAAGTGAAGACAGAGTAAGGAAAAACAGCAGTCAAAGTAACAAAAAAACGCTCAACCACCGATGACAAATGGCAAAACCAATTCTCAGCCTTGAATCCGATTCCACTCCGGACATTAGCGGTCAAATAACAACCCAAAAAACCCAATACAACCCCTTCCCTGAAGAGGCACGGAGCCTAAAACAGGGGCTCTCTCACACCGAGAGAGTAAAAACGAAGATACCTATAGGTCAATAAAGTTCAGTCCTTCACGGGCTCTCCGAGAGCTTAGTGCTCTCGGGGCTCTGCTTTCTTGTTTTTAGATTTTCCCATACTCTGTGGCTGGAGTTATTATTCAACGTGAATTTTGGTGTTTTATTTCGACCTGCATTATTTTGGTTATGTAAGAAATAACTTGCCTTTATCAAGGCAAGTCACCGAAAGAAGAGAACCTGATGGTTATTTCGACTTAAATATTTTCGTCATGTATGAAATAATCCGTCTTTTTCAAGACGGGTACTTTTACAAGTTCGTACCCTGTAAACGGACTTGAGTAGAGGTGCTTTCGTAGACGTTCTCGAAGCCCTCTACAGAGCACACGGTGGTACAGAAGGTGATTTAGACCCTTTTCATTTCCCCCGAGGTGACAACTCAGTTCAAATTTTAAATCCCTTGTACATAGCACTCTTCTCATTTCGTTGAAATTTGCTCTAGCCTTATATTCTGATTTTGATCTCCTGAATGTAATCATTTGTGGAGTTAATCATTGTTGCCAGATACGCATATTTGTCCACTTGTTAGACGTTGGTTCCGTTTATTAGAAGATTCTCGTTATTTCTTTGAGTTTTCGATATTCTCATAAATTTTGTCTTCTTGACATTGTTAGACCATACTCATTTCCATACTTCGCTATTCTGGTCAGCAGTCTCTGAAGATCTTTAATATTTTCGGCTAAAATCACAGTGTCGTCCGAATATCTAATGTTGTTAATGGGAACTCCATTAACCTTTATTCCAGCTGTTTCACTCTCAAGAGCGTTTTTCAGAATCTCTTCGGAGTAGGCATTAAAAGGAATTGGCGACAATACGCATCCTTGTCTCACTCCACATCTAGTTTCAATTTCGTCTGACAGCTGTTCGTTAACAGGTAAGTTTTGCTCGCTGTTTATAGTATAAATTTAATATGATCCTGAGGTCGTTGTAGTAAATCCTCTTTGATTTCAGGACATGTGAAAAATTCAATGATACATAGGCATTAAAAATGTAGAAAAAAAGTCTGATATCTTCGGCAGTAGGTAGTTATATCTGATACAGTCTTTACGTCTTGTAAGAGAGGTGCCTTATTGTCATCTGCGAGAAGACCAGTTCTGATATTATTTTCTATTAGAATCTTTTTGTGAACTTTAAAGCAGTGGCGCACCCTGGGGGTTTTTAGGGGTTAAACTCCCTCCAGGGCACTATTCCAACACTGTTAGCCCCAAATTTTTAGGCTTCAAAGTGGAGGTAGAATAAAAAAATAGCTTAAAAAATTTTTCAATGCACAATCAAAACCTCCCCACAGGAAAATTTAAGGCGCGCTACTGACTTGAAGGAATAGTGCTTTGTAGTTTGAAATAAAAGTAGCGACAGGTTCTTTGAAACTGCTTCTTAGAGTTCTTAGATCTGACCGGATTCCATAGATTCTTTTCGTAATCCTCCGGTATACACATGCGTTTTAGATTTTTGACAATGAAGATCTTTCCAATTTTAAAATGATTTTTTTTACGAAATCATTAGGTTACCATTTAAAAGCTAAATCTTCAAAAAGGCACGTGGCTGTCAAATATAAATATTGGTCTATGCATCCTCTAGAAGATCTTGTTAGTTCATACAAGTGGAATTTATACAATAACATATGAACTACCCTCTAATAAAATTGTCCCAAAAACATGTCTCAAAGATGCTCAAAGAAAGACGGGTGCTTTCAAAGAATACAAAAAATAAATAAATACCAAGAAGCATTGCAGACCACTTTGAGATCCGTAGACAATCAAAATAATATTGACAATTACTCATGGAATATAAACTACTGTGAGGAAAAAGAAACAAGACAAAAAAAAAGACTAGAAAGAAAAAGTTTGATGACTAATGCGATATTGTCTTACAATTAAGGAACCAAGCTTGACAATGATGGGTGCAGCATCCCAATAAAGAAAATATACAAAAATGCGGGGTTACTATTTTGCTTGGGAATTAGCTACAATTTTACTTTAAAAATAAGTTTATTTGAAGTTTCGAGTACACGATATTTTTAAATAAATTATCGAATATTAATCATTTATTTATTATCAAATCAAATAATATATAAGGAAATTTTGGCATCAAATGTTTATTTACAAAAATGTGCCATTAGATAAGACATTAAACATAATTAAAACAAAATTAGGATACATTGACATCTAGAACAAGATTAAATGTATCAGCTATAATGTAGTTATTGACATTATGTACTGATAATACATATTTTTAACTAATTAATGAATTTTATAAACAAAATTTTGGTTTAGGATTGGGTCTGCTTTATCTTCATCATTGAGAATATTTGTATGGAAAATTTCGGGACAAAAAATAATATTTCTAAAATATAAATACACAATGTGTATTACACACATTGCACACAATTATACACAATTAAAATCTCACTGTAAATGATGATATCGGTCAAGGATTAATAAAAAATTAAAAAACCTTTTAATTTAATTTTTTTTCTCCTTGACCGATATCCTCATTTACAGTGAGATTTTAATCTCACTCACATTGTGTATTTAAATTTAGACGGTCGTACTCCTATATATAGTGCGATACCTTAGTGCTTGCTAATTGCGGAGAAGACCTTCAAAATCTAATGAACAAAATAAAACAGACTTGTGATCAGTATGGATTAAAACTCAACGTTAAGAAAACTAAATATATGATAGTTAGCAAACAAAATTATATACAGTATAACTCTGATAATAATGATAATTAGAATTAGAATTCGAATGACATATTGCTACATCTTTCCTGTCCTGCTGTATGGAGTGGAAGCGTGGACTCAAACTGAGGCTATCCTTAAACGCTTGACAGCCTTTGAGATGTGGGTTTACAGACCACTACTGAAAATAAGCTGGGTCGACAGACATAGTTAGAAATGAGGAGCTCCTTAGACGGCTGAACCAAAAAACACAAATGGTCAATATAATAAATAAACGCAAGCTGGAATACTTCGGTCACATTATGAGACACCCTGAAAAATATGATCTTTTACATTTGATCATTCAGGGAAAGATCCAAGGTAATCGTAGTCCTGGTAGAAGAAGAACATCATAGCTGAAAAATCTAAGGCAATGGTATAGAAAATCAACTACATCGTTATTTAGAGCTGCTGTCAATAAAGTCACGATAACGAATATGGTAGTCAACGTGATATCCAACGATCGATAACGGTCATGAAACTAGAAGAAGAAAGAAGAACTCCTATATATATATATATATATATATATATATATATATATATATATATATATATATATATATATATATATATATATATATAGGAGTTAATCCTATATAGTCCTATATATATATATATATATATATATATATATATATATATATATATATATATATATATATATATATATATATATATATATATATATATATATATATATATAGGTGTTAGTTTTGTGTAAATGTATTATTCAATTTGTATAACATTCATTAAAGTGCTGGATAGCCCACATTTTTGACGAAGTAAGTCTAAAACGTTATATAAACTTTTTATCAACCATCAACATCAAAACAACAACAAGTTTTTTCGAACTTAATTAATCTGCATTCTTCTTAACGTTACTTGGCTTATTTTAGATACCATTGAAGATAGAGCGAGTACGCAAGTACTTAGGCAAGATTTAATAAAAAAACTGTGGTCGATATCTGGCTTCTATTTGATTAAAGTTCATATATTCGAGCAGTCATCCATATATCACTTTAAGAAAGTTTAATTATTTTTATCAATACGAAAACTATATATTTTCTGAATATATTTGAAGCACTTACCTTAAGGTCTTTATTTTCTTGTTTAACAAAATTCAGATGTCTTCTTTGTGGTAGCGGTGTCCAAGGAAACATCGTAGTACAACTACCTGACGAGAATTCTTCTTTCAAATTTAAAAAATCACTTGAGCTCATTTTGTTTTAAAATTTTAACGTACGTACTTCGAAGTTATTTCACATCCGATTGATGGACAGTGATGACCGACTATGCTCTGTACCTAATCTAATTTACTTAATAGCAAATTATACATAATCGATTTTTTGAACGCACTCTTAAAAGATTTCGCTAATTTGTACAGGAACGGTTTACGCAAAAGCTCATTTTTCTCTAAATCAATATTTATACTTGCATATTAAATTAAAAGAGTCGTAAATGTTTGGAAAATGATATTTAAAATTAAATACTTACTATATTTATATGGAAACTAGTGATTTTGCCTGTATCTTTTCATCCAAGTGTCCTATCGACAAAAATCAAAATGCATTTTAAAGTTAAAGAGTGCAGATTTTGTATGCAGTTTTTTTTATTTTGGCGAGAATGAACTCAGTTTTTATAGAGCTGTTAAATAAATAGGGGAACGACGGGTAATAGCGAACAGCGGGTGATTGCGAACATCACAGAATACATGCGTACGTCATCTGTATCATTCCGTTGTAAACTTCATTTCGTGCTTCCTACTAGTCTGCACGTGGTGGCATAGATACACAGTTGCCCCGTATTTGTGGAATTTTTTACAGCGATTTATTTGTTTTTGGTGCTTGCACTACAATTTTATCAATTCAGAAAATAAGGTATGTACCTAAACACTTGATGGTTTCATTGTCATTTCAAGTGAAATGCATTTCGTAATCACGAACAGATGTTCACAATTACCCGCCAAGTGTTCGCGTTTACTCTTTTAATAATTTGGCTTAGATTCTTTACATGTTTGCTTTTCGTTTGCTTATTTAACAATTTGTATCTTTTCAGATGCCTTTTAAACGGAAAAGAAGTACCAACAAATTTTCATGGACTGATGATCAAATGAAAGCTGCTCTAAAGGCAATTGAAGAAAGACGTTATGGCCTAAGGGAAGCTGCACGCCAATTTAATATACCTGTTACAACATTACAAAACAGAGTCTCCAGAGGCTTTTACAAAGGCAGGCTGGGTGCAAACAATCTCTTTTCAAATGAACAGGAAGAAGAAATGAGTCGTCATTTACTAACGTTATCTAAAATATTTTATGGATTAACCCCAATTCAGTTGCGAAAAGAGTCCTTCGCCTATGCAGAGAAATTAAACTTAAAACATAGTTTCAACAGAGAAAAACAAGAAGCAGGTAAAAACTGGTTATATGGATTTATGTCAAGGCATCCTGAGTTAAGTTTCCGTAAACCTGAAGCAACAAGTCTTAATCGCATTCAAGGTTTCAATAAGGATCAAGTCTCAAGATTTTGTGACAATTTGGGTAAACTGTACGATGAATACAAGTTTCCACCTACTCGAATATTTAATGTCGATGAGACTGGCATTACAAACGTAAATAGGCCTAATCGGATCATTGGACCTAGAGGCCAAAAACAAGTTGGAGCCGTTACAAGTGGAGAAAGAGGCAAGAACGTGATGGTATGCTGTTGTATGAGTGCCAGCGGATCTTTTATACCACCGCTATTCATTTATCCAATACTGAGAAGAAATCCTGCTTTAGAAAAGGATGGGCCTCCAGGTTCTTTGTACTCCTGTTCAAAAAGCGGTTGGATGAACGAAGAAGTGTTCCTGTTTAGGATTCAACATTTTGCGAAAACCAATAAACCTACAAGAGATGATCCCATTTTACTGGTGCTGGACAATCACTCCAGTCATTGCTCTATTGCAATTTATAATTTTTGCAAATAAAATGGTATCATTATGCTGTCAATACCTCCACATACCTCGCATCGTCTGCAACCACTAGACGTTAGCTTTTTCTCATCATTGAAGCGAGCATATGACGTTGAATGTGATTAGTTTTTAAAATCTCAACCCTATGAGAAAATTGAAATGTGCCATATAAGCACTTTATTCTCAAAGGCGTATACTAGAGTTGCAAGCATAGACAAAGCTGCAAACGGTTTTGAAAAGACCGGAGTTTTTCCATTCAACCGAAATACATTTAATGAAGAAGACTTTTACAGTTCAAACGATAATCAAACTCAACAAAATAATAGCCACGAAGGTCTTTCACAAACTATTCAAGAAGATTTACTGGAACCCCAACCAGGCCCTTCCAAAGAAAACCAGATATGTGAAAATACCGAAAATGTTTCATTCAGCGATATCTTGCCTTTACCGCAAGAAAAACAAAAGATATCTGTTCCGAAGAAGGGTGGAAGAAAAAAACAAAGATCCGAAATATTAACCTCAACGCCTTTGAAATTAGAACTCGAACAAAAGGAGCTTAGAAGGAAACAAAAAATGGAAAATGAAATTGAAAAACAAAAATTTTTAAAAAAGAAAAATAAAACTGCAAAGAGAAAAGTACTACAATCTTCAAGCGAAGAGGAAGATTCGACATCATATAATGATGATGAATCTGATGACAATGACGATATTAATACCGACGATTGTAATAAAGCAGAATCTTGTTTAATTTGTGGTGAGTTCGGTAAAAGCGAACTTTGGTTCCGTTGCATTATATGTGGTGGATGGGTGCATAAATTATGCAGCGGCTCGCACACCGGACAACTATAAATGTGATTTTTGTTAATAGGTAATACTGTTCGCCATTACCCTTCTCATGTTTATTATTACCCGACATTTCGGCTAACAGCGAACATTTCGTGAAAATTTTTAATTGAGTTTTTTTATTAAAATTTTTATTTTTGATTATCCAATAACAAAAATTAATAGCTGTATTACTGTTAGCCACTCTGTAGTGGTTTCCGAGTTTTCAACATTTTTATATTTCTTATAAACAATTATTTTCCTTAAGTGTTCGTAATTACCCGTCGTTCCCTAAATGTGACGCGATTTTTGTCATTTTTTACGATTCTTGTGAGATCAATAAAATTTATGTTTCATTGACCAGTTTTAGTAAAAATTTCATATTTGGAGATGAATCTTAAAACCTATGACATGAAATTTCACTTTCAAGTTGTGGCAGCAAATATGAAGCATTTGGAATATGAATAAAAAACGGAGAATTTAATAGTTTACGTTACAAACGATCACATGTCACTTGAAATCTATCAAAGAAGACGGTTTTGGGTACAGTTTCTTTTTGAAGAAATGTTCTTCCATTCTGCCCTGTCGGATACTTTCCTTCGCCACTGCCTGATGTTCAAGGTTTTAAAAGGTTAGGGTCTAGTAATCGAAACTTCATAGTGGCCAGTCAATGAAAGGGATAGATTGTATTGATCTCGTCAGAATCATAAAAAATGGCAACAATCGCACCACGTTTATTTATTTAACACCTGTATAAAATCTGAGTTTATTTGTGGCAAAATACAATAAACTGCATACGAAACCTGAACTCTTTAGCTTTAAAACGCATCTTGATTTCTGTCGATAGGGCACTTGAATCAAAAGGTTCATTCTACACAACAAGCTCTAATAAATATTTCTGTTTAAAATTATCTCAGCTACATTTTTATTCAAAATATTTTTTCTACGGCGCGGTGTACAGATTATTGGTAAATCGATTTTTTTTGCGATTTTACCCCCCTACGAGGGGGTTTTATTGTGAAGCCCAGGGGTTTAGAGGTTCAGTGGCATTTTTGTCTCTGACGACTGGAGTATAAGTCCTATAAACTTTTCTTTTTAAATTTGGTTTAATGATTCTATAGACGTTTTCATCTTTCTTGGCGTGCGCGTGTAAAAACACTTGCAATAAGTTGTTTCATCTGTCTTTCCTTGTCTAAGCTCGATTCGTTTACCTCCTCCAGTGGCAGCTATCTGTATTCGTAGAGGACGAACTTATCACCGACACCGTATCGGCCAAACGCATCGGTGTTATTGCTACAATACTGGGAGACGTGAGTGGTCTCTTCATTCCCTTCTCATCGCACTTTACCATGACGAACGTGACTCGCACAATTGAATTACGCATCTGTGTATCAGAGAGAGACGAATATTAAAAATTCAGTAGTAGCTTATTTCAGGCACACGCCAAGAACGATGAAACCGAGTTTAGTCATTTTTTAATTTTTTAAATAATAAATAGAATTTGATCATCATTACATTTAATTTTATTTATTTGTATTTAATTTTATTTAATTTTGTTTGGTTTTATTTAATTTTAATTAATTTTATTTATTTATTTTTTAAATTTAATTAGGTTCTATTTAATTTTGTTTAACTTTACTTAATTGTGTTTGATTTTATTTAATTGTATTTAGTAACATTTTGTTTAGCCCTTAGTGCTAGTGATAATTCAATTGTCCCTACGTTACTGTTTTCAAAGAAAGACCGCAAGGAGTATTTTGTTAACCAAAGGCATTTTATTAATTATCTGTTTAATCTTTCAGAATTTCGTTTAAAATTTTTAATGTCAATGTGACAATTACGACAATTCGTACCTACTGTGAAATGAATATAGAGGTGAAAACGTGTAATATGTCACAGCGATTGCCTTTGTTTTGTATGGTCAATAAAACAATGTGATCTGTATATATATATATATATATATATATATATATATATATATATATATATATATATATAACATACTCGCAATTTCTAAAGACGTTCTTCTTCTGGCAGCTACGCCGAAAACTATTGTGTATAAATGGAGAAGCATTACAGTAAATACGCTGAAATATCGTAAGAGGAGTGAAGACATTAAATGTAACGTAGTGTATAAACGAATGAACCCTAAACAGAAAAAAAAAAGAATGGAATAACCACCTAAGCAGAATAAGGGAGATCTACGTGGTCAAGATAGTAAGAGATAAATCACCAATCGGCAGAAGTATCGGACGACTGCCCAAAATATGGAGTGACAACCTTCGATAGAGGTATTATTACGCCAATGAACAAGCAGGTTTGCTTATAAAGAGGAATAAGAACAGGAAGATAAATCTGGAGAATACGAATAACAAAACGAAGCTATTCAAGAAATTCAAACCGATGAAATTACTTTCAACGATTAAGACAGACAGTCTAAATCCGGAGAATGATGTGAGAGGAAACGAAGTTATTGCAGAAATGCAAACGGGCCAAATTACCCCTGA